CTACTACAACTACAATACTACTGTTGCTGCTGCTACTACTAGTAATATACTGCTGCACTACTACTACTACTACAATACTACTGCTGTTGCTGCTGCTGCTACTACTACTATACTACTATTGCTACTGCCCCACAAAGACAATTAAAACAATTGTTGTCCTCAAATTCTCACGGGAATAGGAGAGGACAATAAAAGATATATATGATACATCTTTATAGGCATATATAATACACATACATGATATACTAAAAATCTTAGTGTAGTTTTAAACATTCACACCTTAAGATTATGCTAAGGCTTTTGGGATTCCCTATATAAAGTAGATCCAAGGTAAACCTGGAAGAAAAGTAATGAATTCTAGGGATGGGAGAGGAAGGGATCAGAAAGGCCCTACTCAGAAAGGAGCGCTTGGATATACTACCTAAATTAATTTAGTCCTTCAGGGTCATGCCAATCAAACCTCCAAAGGATTACTTTATAGAGCTTGAAAAAATATCAAAAATTCACTTGGAGAATTCAAGGAAAGATCAAGAATCTCAAAAATAAAAATAAGACCTTGGTATGGAGGTGAAATTGGGCAAATTAATCTCAATTCCAGCAGAGGACAAACTTTACTAAGTCCCACTAAGTTTAAGAGATTGTGTATGATGGACTCAGCATTCTAGGACCAGCCTTGCTAAGTGAGAGTTTCATCACTAAGAAATTAGCTAGGAGGTGAGGAGTTGTTTTAGTCACTGCCTTTCATAGGCCGTCTATTAAGCAAAGAAGGGCTGCTATCTGCATTGATGAAATGAGGGCTTGCTGCCAAAAGACTATAGACTTAAATCATTACAGCTGAGTGACAAGCATGGTGCCATTCATGTAGTAGGCACTCATAAATACTCACTGAATGAGCAAATGAATTTTCTTTTTCTGAAATGATAGGATGGAAATTTGATGAGACTGAGTGTTAATTGAAAATTTCACATGTTCTGGAAAACATCTCCATGTTAATTATAAACAACCAATTGGCAGCTTTTTATGTGTCATCAAATGTAGACCCACCATTTTGCACCATCATCTGTAAGTAGAGCAAATTCATTTGTGCAAGTCCTGAGTTCAAGTTCCAACTACATAACTTTTTAGTTTTGTACCCTGTGCAAGTCACTGTAGCTATGTGAATCTTAGTTTCCTCATCTATAAAATGGGGGGTTGATATTTAGAACATCTCCTTCACAGGGATGTTGCCAAGAAACTGCTTGGTAAACTGTAAAGCACTATATAAATGTGAATTACAATTGTATGCCTCTGATTTCTTCTTAGGCCTTTCATACAGAATTTTTCAAGTATATAGACAACAATGGGGTTTATCTACTGAGCATAATTCAATTCAATAAATGTTGACTAGTGTCCTGCTTTGAAAGGTAGTGTTCCTCAAAGTAGTATACATGTACCCCAGGAGGCATGCAAGATAATCCAGTGGAACTTAGAAAAAAAGAGATTATTTACATTTTTTCTAAACACTGAGAAAGAAATTAAGTCTTGGTAATATTTACTATATTGACTGACACCAGGACCTTCACTCAGTCTGTATATGAGATGGTCATGTGTCAGATATGGTCAATGAGGGACTCTGAGGCAAGGTAGGAATTCCACAGCTCAGAGGGGGCAAGGACAGCAGCCCCACTCCTCCATTCCCTATCAGAACACTATAAAATAGTGTAGTTTAGATGTGTCCAGTTAAATGGATGACCAGGTCATATTATCTAGTATTTATTTTAGTAATTGACACAAGACAGACAAGTAATGTGAAAGATCCCTGCAAAGAAAGTGGAGATTAAAGACACTACTAATAATACTTATACTGTCATGCTAATTAGTGACTAAATCGCTAATGATGGAGACACAGACACACACAACCCGAAAAGCACAGACGCTTCTCCTACCCCTTTCTATGAGCTCTTCATCAGTCACTTTAAAGATTGAATCAAAATGAAAGCCAATGATGCGTGACCATGAAACCCTTCTGTGGTACCACACAGAGTTGTTCTGATTTTCTCATGACAAATGCTTCAAAGGGCTGTCAAACTGAAAAAGGAATTGTGCATTTTCTTTTTATCAAAATCAAAGTGTTCCAAATCTGCTGCCTTTTCTGTGAGAACAAATGACTGTCAATAGTGTGCTACCTTGCTAATGTTTTTGAAAAAATATACCTAATCTGTCCCTTGAAGGGAAAGGAGACATTTCAACAATGAATAAGAAAATAATTGATTTTTGAAAGAAACATTCCAACGGAGTCAGTCAATAAACATTTATTAAGTGACTGCCATATGCCAGGCACTGTGCTAAGGGCTAGAGAAAGCATTTGGAAAATAGATGTTTGGAAATATTTCCTTTATTATCTTTGTCTGATGCCTCTCATTTCCATCAAGAGACAGGATGGCATGGTGGATTGAGAGCTGCTCTTGAAGCTCAGAAGACCTGGAATCTTACATGATCTCTGACATAACATGTGATCCTGGTCAATGGACTTAGTCTCTTGAGTATTCTAGGCCAGTGGTGTCAAATGCCGACAGTAATTAGGGTCAATAATTATACAAAAGGACCCCTGCTAGCACAGTGATCTCGAAGTCCAAGTGATCTCCAAACTTTTTTGATCCCCTCCCCAACCAGTTGGGCAGCTAGGTAGATAGAATGCTAGGCCTGGAATTAGAAAGACTCATCTTTATGAGTCCAGATCTGGCCTCAGACACTTACTAGCTGTGTGACTCTGGGCAAGTCACTTAACCCTGTTTACCTCAGTTTCTTCATCTGTAAAATGAGCTGAAGAAGGAAATGGCAAACCTCTCTGGTTTACTAGGAAACTCCAAATGAGGTCACAACAAATTGAACATGACTGAAATGACTGAACAGTGACAACAACCTTATCAGTAAAAAATAAAACATATATGTTCCTAGTATGTCTACTTATTAATAAATTATGTGCATGTACTACAATATAAAAATATCATGTACATTAGTACTATATACTACATAGTATTACATACTATATAGTATATGCTATATACTATATAGTATATAATACTATACATGTTTTGTGTGTATGTGTCATGTATGTATTTTATAAAATCATGTAGAAATTACATTTTAATCTGGTAATCTGGTTCAGGCCACATTCACGTGTTGTGGGCCACATGTGACCCACAGGTGGTGTGTTTGCCACTCCTGCTGTAGCTGTCAAACCCTTTAAGACTCTAAGTTGCAGGGAAGGTGCTGACCTGCATAGCTCGATGAAGTTTGCTTCTCCAAGAATTCTCTTTATCAATGAAATTTCAGGTCTAGTCCCTATCCCCACTCCTATCCATCATTATGGGATTTATTGGACCATGTGAAGTGCACCGCACAGGAGAATTCTCATATCTGCACAATAAAAAAATTTGGGAACAAAACTTTCTAACCTGTTTTTTTTTTTTTACATTCCAAACGAAGCTTCAATGGGTTTTGAACCCATTTGCTAAAAATATAAGAAAATGAGCAGGATGAAGAGAACGGTGTATGTAGTAACAACAATATTGTTTTAAGAATGACTTAGAGCAAGTAAGTTACTTTGACTATTATAAATACCCAAATTAACTATAAAGGACATAGGAAGAAAGATGCTATCTGCATCCAGAGTACTGACAAATAGAAGTATGTATAGAATAATTTTACATATCTATAACTACTTGTGACTAATAGTAGCCACCCTTAGGGTGGAGGGAGGGAAAAAAAAGAAAAAAAAAGAAATTTATATGATAATTTCATTGTTAATTGGAAAAGAATAGCAAGTTGTGCAAAGTAGATTTATCATTTCATGCGCAATCTTTTTTTTAATTGTACTATATTATGGAAATGCTTGTTTTACTCCATAAATTAAAAATAAAATTTAAAAATGCAACTCCAAATTAGTTTGCAAAAACAACCGATTGACATAAAGGGAGATGGAAAGTCCCTGGCTAAATTTCACTAAACATCTTTGCAGAAGAATGACTACCATGACTTAGCAAGTTCAACCAACAATTCTCTACTTCCTCCTGGCTCCACTCATCTTTGTGAGAGACCTTTCCCAGCTCTGACAGCCATTAAAACCAAGTATCAAGCTGAACTGAGAACCAGACCTATGAATCACTATCACAAAATGAGATCTTTTTTAAAAAATCAAGAAACACATTCAATTGCATTGATCTCACTAATAAATACTATGATTAATAATGCTTTTATAGAATAAAAAGAATTTGGGTACTAGAAATAAAGTACATTTTTTAAAAATAGTGTTCAATCTTTATCTCATCCTTTTAAAATTTCTATTTTAATTCTTACAATGTACATAATATATTAATACAGTGGTACAGGAGTTGTTGTTCTTGTTAAGACATTTAGCAATGTTGGACTCTTCATAATCCCATGAACCATAATGTCTATACAAATTGCTCATAAGTAGACATATCTTTGAGGTACACACTTTTTATTTTATTTTTTACTGATAGGGTGGAAGATCAAAAAAGTTTGGAGATCACTTCTATGTATCACTCTGCTAAGTACTGAGGAAGATACAAAGTTTGTAGAAGATACAATTCCTGCTCTCATGAAACTTACGTCTCCTTAGATACTAAGGGCTAATCTTTGTAAGTTGCTTTATGACTATCCTCAATGTTTATAAGCCTCGTGAAAAGGTCAATTAATTGCTCGTAAGTGGACAAATTATTTATTTTCATCATCCTAAGTGTAGTTATATTAACATACTATTTTGGTTTGTCCTTTCATCTGCAGATTTTTTATTTATTTAATTTCACAATAAAGATGAATCCAGAATGAGATTTATGGACAGCCAACTTGTTAGCTATATATGGAAAGTTTGTCCAGTCATCCTTGTACACAACTGTGGGTCACATAAATGCATCCATACTTACCACAATTTACAATGTAGCAATTTACAAAGGCAAATTATGAAATACAACAAATGTAATAGAGAGGGCCCTTACCTTTTCAAGCATCGCATTGCCCTGATGAGGGTTGATATTGTGTTTGCTGACCTGTCTTTTGTACTTATACTCATAAACTTGGTCAGTGATATTAACTAGAAGTGTTGATGGACCAGAAGCCAGCTTCCCACAGTCATAGACGGTCCCACTTTCAATGTCAGTTGGTGCTGTAGCGTAACGTAAAATCAATCCCATTATGAGACCTAGAAATAAAAATATATATTTAATGGCTTTTAATAAAGGAAATCTAGAATATTCGGTGCTGGGTACACATACAATTGGCAAGTGAAAGGGCTTCAGCATTTTGTGACCTTCACATGCTTTCATTCCTACACAAAAATCAGTCCTGTGGTTCTTATTTTCACAATATTTCATTTAACTCACATTAGCTCAAGTTAAAAAGGGTTCTAGTAGAGTACCGGCCTTGGAATCAGGAAGATTTGGATAAGAATCCTACTCAAATATTTACTAGCTATGTGACTCTGGGCAATTCACTTAATCTCTCTGACCCTCAGTTTCCTCTTTTGTAAAATGGAGATAAAAATACTAATACCTACCTCATGGAGTTATAGGGAATATCAAATGAGATAATGTACATAAAATGCTTTCCAAACTGCAAAGTACTATATAAATATTTTATTAGTAGTACTATAATAATTATGTGTCTTAGAACTCCATTACATTAGAATAAACACAGAGGCCTCAATCTACTGGTCTCTGATATAGTGACAAAAAAACATAAATTTGGAGTCTATCAGACAACATGATTTCAGTCCTGGTTCTACAATGACACATTTGGGCAAGTACTGTGATGGGTCCAGGGTTGGAGTCCATAAGACGTGGATTCAAATCTCACCCCTAACACTTACTACACACTCTAGGGCAAGTCGTTTAACCGGTATGAGGGTTGGGCAGCTCCTAGGATCTATCTACTGGACTAGGGGTGGGGAATCTGTGGCCTTGAGGCTACATGTGGCTTTCTGGTCCTTGGGTGACGCCTTTTGACCGAGTCCAAGTTTTACAGAACAAATTCTTTTATTAGGGGGATTTGTTCTGTGAAGTTGCTGATGCTCTGGCCCAATGTGACCTTTAGCAAATCACTTAGCATCTCCTGGTTCAGTTCTCTTATCTGGAGAAAAGGAATGGGCTGGAATAGATTATCTCTGAGGTCAGCTCCCACTCTAGATTGATTGTACTGGATTAAAAAGCAAATAAGATGTGGTGGCTTTTTTGTATGTGGAAATATTTATCTGCTTTGACTAACTTGAACTTTATTGTACTTTTAGCCTTTGACAGTTGAAGATTGGCTTGATCTGTTCAATGATTTATGTGACATGTGCAAATTATGATTGGACCTCAAGATTTGATAAGTAGAGCTGTAATAGATTTGGGAGAAGGGAACATTTAGTTCGTGCTCCCCACACACCACAATATTGTTATACCAATGTATAAAGAAATGATATTTTCAATGTTTATGTCTGAGCAAGGACAATCCTCCCAACTCCAATCTAGAACATGAGTTTTTTTTTTGTTTGTTTTTTTTTTGGTGAGGCAATCAGGGTTCAGTGACTTGCCCGGGGTCACACAGCTAGTAAGTGTCAAGTGTCTGAGGTCAGATTTGAATTCAGGTCCTCCTGACTCCAAAGCTAGAGCTTTATCCACTGCTCCACTGAGCTGCCCCCATGAGGCCATTCTTAAAATGTTTTGCTAGTCATTGAGAACGTGGATTGTTTCATTCTTTGTCATTGTCACCGCAGCACCTAGCACATAGTAAGTGTTTAATAAATGCTTGATCATTTTTAATTCTCTTCCACCAAAGTTATTTTGTATTTCCTTTCTGTGTATTTTGTATTTGTTCATCTGCACACAGTTTGTTCTACCAAGTAAAATATCTTCCAGGGAAGGGACCGGTTTTTTGATTTTCTGGGCTTTTGGGGTTTTTTGTTTGTTTGTTTGTTTTGCCCAGTATCTGGCATGTAGGTGCACAACGGATAGAGCATTGGACCTGGAGTCAGAAAGACCTGAGTTCAAATGTGACTCCAGTCACTAGCATTAGCTGTGTAACTTTGGGACTAGTAATTTTATCTCTGTTTGCTTCAGTTTGTAAAAATAGGGATAATAACAGCACTCACATTACAGGGTTGTTGTGAGAATCAAATGAGTTAATATTTGCAAAGCACTGGCACATAGTAGGTGCTATATAAATGCCACCCCCTCCACACACACAGTTGATGTTTGTTAAGTTCTTGTTTAATGGAAAAGAGACCATTTTTCTCTTAATTCATCCTATCTCATTGTTTAACTCTTTGCCTTTTTGGTTATCATCTGTTCAGCTAGACCCTGCTGAGAAGCAGAAAAAAGAAAAGCAGAACGATAACATTTCCCTTCCTTTCTGCACACAGGGAGCAACTTCCCACTATGATATGCATTCGGGACACTTGATTGATCACAACAACACTTGTCTGAAAACACAAAGGAAACCAAGTGATTGCCCAAAGTTGTTCCCACGGACATAGGCAGCTGATTTTTGGAGCACTCCAAACATCATGCAGAAATCACATGCCTGTCTTGTATGTACCTAGTGGTTTATGTGTTGTTTCCCCCTGTAGAATGTGAGCTCCAGGAGGTCTGGGACTGTGTTTTTGACTTTCTTTGTATTCCCAGGGCTTAGTAAAGTACCCAGCACATAACTAACTTAATAAATGCTTGTCAAGCTGATCTTGAGAGACTATCACTTCTCTGAAAGACAGCAGAAAGTCAGAAAAATTAAGGCAACCCTTGAGCCCTTTGCTGAGTGCTGGCCTGGGAGGGAATTTCCTTTTGCTGCTCTGAACCTTATTTATGACTTTTACGTAATTAAAAACCTTTCTATCTGGAAAAGTTTCCTGTAGATTCACCTTCCCAACCAGATTCTGCACTGCAGAAAAGTAATCCAACAAGGAATATTCCCTTCTCCAGTATGATGAAAGATGTGACAGGCCCTGTTTAACAAAAACATGGAGCTAATACCTTTGAGTTTAGGGCAAATTCCATTGCAACAAATTCCAAGAAGAATCTACTTTTTTTGTTGTAAAAGGATTTCAGGATACCATGAGGTACCATAGTATAGGGGAAGCCCCTTTGCTACTTCTCAAGCCAAGTAGTTATTATGGGCATTTGGGAGAGGCCACTGAATCAGAGCCCAGGAACTGTTGGCAGTGGTGGTGTTTGCTAAAGGCATTTCAGAAATCCACAGAAGCACAATTAAGTGACAAGATTCAATGTAAAGACTGTAAGTTACAGGAGGTAGCTGGATTGCTCAGTGGATAGAGTACTGGGCCTGGAGTCAGAAAGACCTAAATCTGAATCCCCTTACACACTTAGCTGTGTGACCTTGGGCAAGTCACTTAACCTTGATTTGCCTTAATCCACTGGAGAAGGAAATGGAGAATCACTTTACTATTTTTGCCCAGAAAAACCCCATGGGCAGGATGGTCCACGGGTCACGAAGGGTTGGACATGTCTGAGCAACAAATGATGTCCCCCTGCATTGGTAGACAGAGTTTGCTCATTAGGAGTTCTCTATATCAATATCACAGGTCCATTCCTTATTCCCATCCTTATCCATTATTGGGGATTTTGTTGAAGAAAAATGAAGCATGTCATATATAAAAACCCATAGGTACACGGTGGAAAAAAGCTTAAAAACAAAATTTTCTAACCTGTTAAAGTCTCCTCCCCCCAAAAAGTTTCAATGGGTTCTGAATCTACTTACTAAAAATATAAAAAATGCTACACCCTCTGTTTAGTTTACAAGAACACCTGATTGATATCAGTGAAGATGGGAACTTATTAGCAAATTGAAACAAAATTTTTCTTTGAGTTGATGGACGAAATTGCAAAATGAGTATCATGATTTAGTAATCACAGTCAATAATGGACTTCTTCCATTTACATCTACACATATTGGCAAGACAGCTTTCCAGCTGGAACTGCAGTTAAAAGCAAGTATCGAAATAATCTAAACTTAAAACTAGATCTTCGAATCATTATCCCAAGAGATTTAAACCAAGAGATTTAAATATAATGAAGTACATTCAATTGTATTGCTTTTACCAATACATATTAATACTACTTCTGGTGTACCAAAATGATTTGTCACACACAAACACACACATACATACACACACACACATGCATATGTATATATGTGTGCATGTATATGTAAAGGTGTGTACACACATATATGTATATGTACATATATACATATACATATATACACGTATATGCATATATGTATATATATAGTTAAACTGTGTTTAATTTTTATCGTATCCTTTTCAATTTCAATTTTTATGTTTTATAATCTAGTTTTGCAAGCTTCTACAGTATCCTGTAGAAAGTTTTCCTCGAAGGAGTTAGTTATATAATACAATTACATAAAATTATATTAAGATTATTAGTTACTATGTAATATAAATTATAATATACATAATATTACATGCCTATCATTTACCAATACATATACATACATTGGGCACATGCACAAGTATGTTTTACTGGTGAGGCTGGAGATAAAAGTTTAGCGACCTCTTGAAGCACTGTGCTAAGTGCTGCCCACGTGGAGCCTAAGTCTCCTTAGATATTAATGACTAGCATTTGCATGGTGCTCTATGAGTACCATTCTCCATGTTTATACTTTACATATAGCAGAAGTGTGAAGACTCAACCAATTTACTTGAGTTCTGAATGCCAAGATCACACAGTCCCTGCAAGATACAGTCTGCATGGCTCATCTTCCTAGATAGATTCTGAATTACTTGAGGGCATGGATCCAGAAGCCTAGTTTTATCATTGATAAAATGATGGAATTGTATCTCTAAATTCCTCTTACAAATCAAACAACCTATAAATTCTGTGTTAAGCATACCCAGTTCACTGGAAGTAACAGGCTCAGATGTGTCCTCATTCAATGCATGTTTATTGCCTGATGAGAGATTGGTACCATGCACCACTGGAGACATCAACATGAATGCAAGAGGGTCCCTACACTCTCACAGAGTTTATAATCAAGCTTCTGGTACCTCTGAGGACTCTGACTCCCCATCAGCATCAACCCAGCATGCTTTTGGCATGTGTCTCCTCTTTCTTCTCTTTCTTAGTTTATACTAAATTTTTCATTTCTCACCTGGCTACACTACTCTAGAATTTCTCTGAATGGTTT